TAAATGATCTCGCAAATTATCATGATTATCGTATGATATTAATCCTATAAGATACATAAAGGATGTAAAAAGACTAAAGCATATTATACATTCTACTACTTTAAGAATTTTAATAAAAATAATCTTTTAGCAGAGTAGCGAATTGAGTAATTAAAATTGTAAATATTTTGTCTCTTTTTAAGCATTCACGCATATAAAGAAACGTTGCATCACCAGATTTTAATTCTAACACTCTCTACAATTACAAATTACAATAATGATTAATATTATACGATAATCATGAAAATTTGCAAGATCATTTTCATAATTTTTACAAAATATATCTCATTATTTGAATTGCAAATTAATATCCATATTATTTACAAATTTACATTTAGAACGAAGTATAAATCTTACTCCTTATCAATTGTGTATCTTATTATAACAATAACTACACTTGTCACTGAAAAAAATACATGCATTCAGTAGATCGAGAGAACAGATTAGTGAGTGCTCAGTAAATCTTTAATTATTATGCGTGTATGCTTAAAAGAAACAAAATATTTACAATTTTAATTACTCAATTCGCTACTCTGCTAAAAGATTATTTTTAGTAAAATTTTTAAAGTAGTAGAATGTATAATGTGCTTTACTCATCTCTATATCTTTATGTATCTTATAGGATTAATATCGTATGATAATCGTGATAATTTGCGATATTATTTTCATATTTTTTACAAAATATATCTCAATATTTGAATTGCAAATTAATATAAGATCAGATTTACTGCTTTGATCAAACAAAGAATATTTACAAGTTAGTATATCATGCTTGTTGATTTCTACGCGCATATGTTCTTTGTAAAGTTTATTTTTTGAATATTATATCATTACGTTTCCATTTCAGATTTGTGTTAATAGAATAGAAGAGCGTATTAAAGCGTTGCAAGAACGAAAACTTGAGATAACGAAGAATGAATTGAGTGGCGATAAGAGGAACGCATCTACAAAGCTTGCGCTGAACGATCTCAAATCTCTATTCGGCTTCTAATTTATTTCTTGTAATAAATAGATAGAACAATAGAACAATAGGATAATAGTTTTATGTTGTAAAGAATGTTTTACTTAATCGTAATTATATAGAAT